ATATATTTTATAAGGCTTTAGGTCTACAGGTAATTTGATATCCTTTTTCAGAATTGTAATGAGATATAGTTTATTCAAAACTCCATATTCTATATGTCCAAAGCAACAATGCTATAGCTAGTATTAGTTTAGGTAATTTTGTTATTGGGTATCTGCCTTGTTTGTCTTGTTTTCACTATAAACAATATTCTCAACTTCTAATGGAATTTTCTTATCCTCCTCTACAACTAAAAATGTAATATCAAAATTACTAATAACGATATTAATAATCATATAAATTCCATAAAAATTATTTGTAGATAATAGGACTTTTCTGTTTCTATAAAAGTATATCTTCTTATCATTAAAGATTCTCTTAATACTAAATTCTCTATAAAACAATTTTGTAGATAATAAGCTTACTTCTAATTCTGAAATATATAATACCTTTAATTTATATATCTTTCCATTTCACTTTATCTCTATTATTCTATACTCTTTCATAATCAATTCTCTTTCTTTAATTTTTATTTATCTTAACTTAGAAAATAACTTTAAGCTAGATAGAAGGTAGAATTAATCAGTTATATATAATGAATAACTGGTATTTGTAATCCATTCTCTGGTATTATTGTGAAAGGATATATGTATAAATTCATTTGAATAATAATAAGGCTTTTCCTTATTTAAGATTTTAGTTGTAATATAATCGTAATTGTATATAAGGCGGAAGGTTAAATTACTAGGAGAAGATTTACGACTTCTCTAATTTGAGCTTGCTTGATATCTCAATAGGGATAATAATTTCTTAATCGGATTGTTTTTGATATAGGTTTGAATACTTTTTTTATATAAATAGTCTTGTATAATATAATCCAATTTGTTACAATAAAAATATTCTTTTCCTTTATTTGAATTGTAGGGTTTTCTCTTAAAACTTTAATAACAGTCTTTATTATATTATTCATAATCTTGATGGTTTTATATAATCATTGTTATATTTGTATCTCTATCCTTATTTATTGAAATAATATTTCTAAAAATGATTGTTTTATTTATAACTCGGATTTTCTTAAACTTGATTATGAAATCAAGATTTTGAGTATTAATTGCTTTAATAATAATATTGAAATGTTTTGGCAATTCTTGAATAAAGAATTCTAAAATAATATTCTTAATTAATAAATTCTTTTATATTGTTTCTATTTCAACTATTTCCTTTTAAATAGAGTATATCTCGCCCTAACCTTTTTCGACTATAGTATTTTTCTTTAGCTTTTATATTATTAATTATATAAACTTGTTTCATAATTTTTGAGGGGTGATGCATTTGTACTTTGCCTTTAGTTTGACCTATTTATTACTAAACTTATTAGCATTTTCAATAAATTCATTATCCACATCACTAATATACTGAATAACAAAAAGCTTTATACTAGTTTGAGCTTTCTTTATCTTGTATATTGTATTTATCAATTCAATAGAATCTACATAGAATACTCTGTATACAGCTATATTATTTATAATAATATAACCCTATCCTTTTTTTACAAAATATAGTTTTATTATCTTGAATTAATAATATTAATTTTTTCTATTCAATATTGGGATCTTTAACTATCTACTATCGAAATTGTTTCCTATGATTGCAGATATTGTTATTGGTTTTGGTTTTGGTGTATTACAATATAGGGGATATTTATTTGCTTTCTCCTTTAATATAATTTGAGTTTTTATATAAAATAAATATATCTTTTTTAGGAATTTCGATTTTGTATTGATAAGAAACCTCTACTACAACTTTTTGATTTGATTTAGACCTCTGCTTTTCTTTTGCGCCTCTACGATTTATTCTTTTTATTATATAAGCCTCTATCTCTCTCTTGATTGTATAAACCTTTATCTTTTCTCTTACATCTTTATATATTCCTTTCTATTAATAGTTTTTAATTCAAATACAAACCGGGCTCATAACCTATTTTAAGTATAATTCTCTACAAGGAATAAGATGGGAAGTATAGAATAGAAAGTGATAGTATTAAAAGGACTAATATACTAAGTATCTTCTTCTATTTTTGAGAGGAAAAGCTCTGTATAGAATAGAGCTCTTACTAGTATTAATTGGGGCTAGCTCTCCCTGTTCCATAATCACGTGAACCACACCTTTCAATATTTATCAATATTATTATTATAAACTTTCTGAATTTCAGATTTTCATTTCAAATGTTATATCAATTTATTCAAATTATCTCAATTCTAGATTTCAAATATTTTTATCGCTTTTTTAATTTTTAATTCAATTTAATACAACGTTTATATAAATAATAAGAGCGTGCATATAGTAGGGCCGTGCACATAGTAGGGATATCGGTTAAGGTTACATCTCTCAATATTCTCAGCTGGAGTAATGGATCTGGTGCATCATCGTGCAACCGGGCTCACGGGATTCAAGCCATCAAGACATAGATTTCATATCGAGAGGTAACATCAGTGTTAATCAGGGATAGGTTGTCAAAACCAAAAAAACAAATTCCCATAAGGCGACATGGGAAATTCTCCGATTTACCATAGCACAAATCATTCCCTGGCCAGGAGCCAGGTATATCTTCCCCGGAAAAAGCAATTGATAAGACGATGATAACAACATTAATTAATATAAACATCAGACCACATGTTGAACATCTCCAGCTGTATGAGAAATGAGTAACGACGACACCCATTTGCATGTTTTTATATATCAGCTCTTATTTACTTTTTCAACTTGTCTAGGTAAGCACACTAGCAAACGATTCTTCATCATCTACACCGACGCTATGAAATAAAACATACAACGCTACCTGCGATACGATGTTTACTTTTTGCCCAAAAAATGTTTGTTTTTTGTTACGGCCAACGGGATTCAATTATTGTACTGCAATTGCAATTGCAATGATTTTGATGAAAACCATCCAGTACCTTCATTTCCTTCGCGTCCTACCACCAAAGCGCCATTCTCCCTACCTCGTTCCCCCATGTCCATTCCCATTCCCTCTCTCCTCCTCTTTCCTTTTTGTCGCGCAAGGCAATGAAACCTACTTGAGTCATTGTGACTTCTTGCCGTATTGACTAAGAATAACGCAGGTAGGCAAGCAGGTAGCCTCCAAATAGGTAATGTGAATGATTAAAGGGCTCAAGTGACGAGGTCAGACCCCCGATTTTCTTATCCACATCCACCTCCGTTCTCTCATTCTCTATTGATATCAACCTACTATACCTATTAACTCTTACTCCCCTTTATCACATCCTTCCTGCGTGTCATATTTCTGACATTCTTCTTGTTTTGCTATTCGCGCCATGAGAAATCGCACCTATGGCTGAATCTAATATTATCAACTCTAACCCTCCGCCTCAAGCTCCCCCACCAGATCAGCATTCCTTATCCGAACAAAGTGAGAAAAAAAAAGACTCCATCGCCCACTTTAGTAGCTCACAGCTAACAGCCTTTAGTCAATATTGCGACAAGAGCTGTTCATTCTCAGCTCAACAAATTAATTCTCCTTCGTTTGCCTCTCGCTCTCCCTCCATACACTGCGAACCCGTCCATCTATGTCTCGGGCATCCTTCACATTGCGCCAATCTACATTACGTTCGAGTCACTATGGCAAGCCATTATAGATGCTCCCTGCCTTCCACTATCTCTCAACGATGAACAAACAAAATCTGACGGCCCCGGTAGTAGATCGGACTCTTTGGACTCTCAGGCATCGAAAGTCTGCTCAAGAACTCAGTCTTTACTTTCACACCTACTTCTTCCTGGCCTCTTGCGATCCGGACGCCTTCAAGCCGATATCCGCACTTTGACAGGAACCCCTGATCATAAGATTGAAGAGCAACTGAAGGCAGTTTCGAATGATGGGCGGCTAGCAGAGTTTATTGCACACACAAAGAAATCCGTCCAAACAAACCCACATGTATTGTTAGCATATGCATGGGTATTATATATGGCCTTGTTCTCGGGCGGTCGATATCTTCGAGCCTCCCTCAAATCGGCGGGTGGCTTGGAAGACTTTTGGGAAAGAGACCCCTCTCCCGTGCGCCCCTATGGGGCTACCAGACCTTCGGGGCACGCCCAGTCTCCTAGCAAAGTGCATTCCCAACAAGAATTGCGTCCCTCTGCTCGTCGACTTTCGCGTTCCGAGTGCAGTCGAATGATGAAGAAACAAGGTCTCCAGTTCTTTGATTTTGCCGGGGACGAGGATGGCGAAGATATTAAGCGCGAGTTCAAAGGGCGAATAGCAGAAGCCGAGGTCCTCTTAACAGATGGCGAAAAGGCCGACATTATCAAAGAAGCGCAAGCAATATTCTCGTTCATGGTTATGATGGTTTCTGAACTAGATTCAATATGTGGAACTACGGAAGAACATTTGGAGACAGTGAAATCCTCAGGCTCCACAAGATTACATCGGGAACATAAACCTCTGAACATGGCGCGGGGCAGTATTGATCTCACACAGGAACGTCTTTCAAAAATGAGAGAAGAGAAGAGTTCTACTGAAGAAGAACGATTGGAGAGAAAACCAAGTCTCTATGCATCATACGTTGAAGCTCCGATGGCTAAATTGGTGAGATTCAAAGATGACTTTCCTGGCACAGGGAGACCTCTGGCAAGAAAGCATTCCATAACATCTCCCTCTACACAGGGTGGAATCTCAGAAGAAGAGAATGGTACAACTTCGGGAACAGGCCTAATTGTTGGACTCTTGACATTTGGAGGACCGTTAGTAGCATTGACAGCAGCATTTGCAGCTTGGTATTATGTTGTGTAATAGATTCTTTTTTGGATAGAAATTGCATTGTTTGGGATGTGTTTACGACGTTACGAAAGAGGTACGAGCTTTCGCGGGTGCGTTTGGCTCAGAGCCGTATGTTGAATGAGGGCACAATGGCTATGGTCATGACTAGATGACTCTTTTTTTTCTGTACATTGGTACTTAGTACACTCTTTTAGGATAGTTACAATTTGATACCCCTATTGATCGTTTTCAACACTCGTTCTTCTTACGCACCACTTTCTTTGCATGCATACCCGAACTTTGATAAAAATTTGAAGCTATCTCTAATCAAGCTTTGCTGTACTTTCCTTTTTCGCTTCGTCTTGCAAACTGACACTTCGAACGAAATTACACAAAGGCCAAAAGCTTCCCCCGAAATCCATGTCGTACCTGTAATGTAACTGTTAGCCAGATCTCTCTTTATGTTGGCTGGTGTGAAATATTAATGGCGATCTGTATCTAATAGGGTTGACCTCGATCAAGTTTGCCAGCGTGACATGACAATATCCCGTGGACAAACTTGGCAATTGCTCTTCCACCTAGCAAACCACCAGACCATATCAAAATAAAATAATACATACCAGTAGTTAGCAGCAACACAAATGCCATCCTCGCCACAACTTTGTGCTACTTTGTGATACCACAATGCTGGTAAGTACAGCATATCTCCCTTCTCCAAAGTCACATGCATTGGCTGAGCTAGATGCGAGTATTTGGTAGGGTTTCTGGATGGTACATCTGGATCCCAGGTCGCGACGGGCACTTCTACTGAGGGTGAATCTGATTTGATGGTGAGGGTGGCGGGGTCGGACGTAGAACGGACGTAGGAGGTGGAGGGAAGAGGCACTTCATTGATGCAGGGGTGACAGAGAGGCGGGAGTAGAGTGAAATGTTTTTGTCCGAGAATCTGGACGTAAATGTTTTGGTACGGGTCTTTGTGGAGAGAGGTGATGGAGTGCGAATTTCCTATCCACTAAATCATGTGTAAGATATGCTTCTTGGAAGGAGAGGGTGGGCGGTACCTACGAGATTAATGGCATCGGGATCTTGTTGGAGTGCTATCCTGGCGAAGGATATGTCCTGTTCGACATCAGAGAACAATGAAGAGTATTCATTACGTAGGTTGTCATTCTCTGTCTCATGTTAGACCAATGAATCGTAGCTTTATGCTGCATATGGTTTCTTACGTGTTTGAGCATATCTCACTTCTTCCTTGTTTCTCTCGTGCGATTCTTGCTGCGAGACAAAGTCGACGAATTCCGCAAAAGATTGAGGTTCTTCCCAAGGCTTCACAAAAACCAAATCCCCCTCATCGTTGAGGGTAGGAGAGTCGGCATTTCCATGGGGGGTCACTGCTACGTTCACTTCATGTGACGAGAGTGTGGACCTGAGATAAGATAGTGACCAAGTAGATGTTGCTTTCCACTGGAGCCATAAGCATTAACATATGAAACGCGCATATCTTAAGATGTACGGAGTATGTGTAGCATGGGGCAAAAAAGGGAATAGAGGGGTGCTTACATCCGAAGCGAAGCCTTGTACTATGAATGGCCGGTTCAAGGCAACGAAACGCATAAATTCGAGGGCTGAAGGTGCCTCATCCAAAATAGTTATTGTGGATGAGTTGAGCTCGTTATATGTAGTCAACAAGTCCATTATTGGATCTGATGAAAGGACGTCCATCTTTGAATTTCCAAGATGATATTGTTGGTTGTTAGAAGAGTAAGAGGTTGATGTTGCCAAATTTGGTCTCGTGGGTTTGAGGAGTGAAAGATTTTGATGTGGAGAAAATTTATGTTGGATGCAATGCCAGTAAAGCATCATATCAATAAATCTCATATCATCGCCACTAACTTCAAAGTTTTTTACTCTGACATGATAGTTCCAGGTCGATTTGTTTGAAGGCATTAGAAAATTTTACAGGCCAGGAGATTAGCAGTGAAGGACCCCTTGGCATCGAGAGCAGATCCAGATCATAAAGGCATTCATAATTGGTAAAAGTTGATCTACCTATAAACTCCTATAAATGATACTCTTTACCGTTAAAAATTCGTGTGCTACATAAAATATACTGATCGCCTAATGCGTCGTGACTGAGTTATAATGACCCTTGGGGTATACCTGTTACGCCGAACAAAAAATGCAACTCATGCTCCTCGTAGTTGACTCGTAGGCACGAATCTTTCACAAAATTAAGACCATGCCGAAAGAAATACACTCTTCGCCCCGGACAACACCGATCCATAGCCAATATTCTACTCGTCTTCGTCGTCATAATTCTCTTCTACATCTGCCCATCCACAACCCCACCGTCTTCCTCCAGTCTCCCCACCCATTCTCAAATCTCTGGCATCTCTCCCCTCTCTCCAACATCTAACATTCCAGTCATCGTCTGCACAAATAAGTTCGCCATTGCTTGTCCAACTCAGCGAGCTCACTTCTCTTGCATGCCCTCTTATCAGCGCTGTTCCGTGGGTATAGATAGGTACTGGGTCTTCTGCTGAAGTATCTTTCCTACTTTCCCAAAGAGCTGAATGAAGTCTTCCAGATCGTGACAAGGACGTGGAGCTTAGAGTTCGGGACTGTTGAGCGACGCCTTCAAGTGGAATAGAAGTATTAGCCTTTGTGCCGAGGTAGCGTTCATCGGTGGGGAATAGAATTGGAGTCCCATCATTGCTACCCACAGCTAGAAGCTCGGAATTTCCATTAACAGGTTTGCGAATCGCAGACTTGATATAAAAGTTAGCAACGTGGAAAGAAGGGTGTCGCAATCCATAGAGTGGGCCTAAGCCTTCTTGAGCTGCCCGTTGAGCTGTTCGTTTTCCATTGCCACTTTCGAACTCAGGTGCATGTCCGAGAATAAGATGCGAGGTTGAATATGCGTAGACAATATTGTCCTTACAAACGCTGTAAAACCTGCTTCCGTCGTGACTCATACTGAGAGAGGTAATTCCAAAAGGACGATTGCCGATATGGCTCGGAATTTGTTTAGTGTATGCAACTGGCTGGCTACTTTTCCGCTTGTTGGAACAGTTGCGGATATCCCAGAGCTTGACAATAGAATTTGATTCTGATCCCGTGAGCAGCAAGTGCTCTTGACCTGGTGGTAGGAATTGAATACTCGTAACGGATATGTCACCGATGCGTTGTTTTTTAGCAGCAGAAAGAGAGCGCGAATTTGCGGGGGGTTTCGGTTCATGTGAATCTGAACCGTGATGAGCATCCAAAATGCCGTTGACATTGCCACAACGTGGAATATTTTCGCCTGGTAGCTTCTGCATCTCCATGATCGGGCCGTCATCGCCCTTGCACCTGAGATCCCAAATCTGAACACTACCATCTCTGCCGGAAGTGGCAAGCACATTCTTGTTATTTGCTCCCGGTTGAAATCTGACTTGTTTCAGTGTTGCACTATGGTTTGCGAGGATAGAGATTGACTTTTGTGTTGTCATGTCTGAAACTTTGGCGGAAAGATCTCCAGATGCCGTAGCTATTAATGAATCATCGTCGGAGAGTGAAAGATCGATGATCGCGTTCTTATGAACCTGCCAGCCGAGGTATACACTGCTGAACGAAGGCTGTCCATTCTTCTCAGATTCTACTAATCTAATACGTCCTTCATCGTCACCAATGGCTACTAGAGAATTCGTATTCAGACCGGCGTTGCAAAATGGTATGCTGTCCCTGCCACCCAAGAGACTCGAAGTATGGCTCACATCTTCCGGTCTACTGTAGAACGATGCAGTCTCATCTCGCCAATCATTGACAGCGTATGCTAGATTGGCTCGTCTCGATCTGGAAGTGCCCAAGCTCAATTGCAATAGCCTTGCACTCAAACCACGATTCTCGAAGGGAACAATGCGCTCCAACGGTTCTCTTGAAATAGATTCAATGATATCTTTCTCATCCTCTCCCTCTTCCTCCACATCTTCAAGAATTGACTGCGATTTTGGATATGAAGAGGTTATCTTCAAAGAACCACGATGCGATTGTCCATATCGAGTTTGATCTTTGAATGGGCAATCACTGTCTGACCCTATATCAGCACCGACATCACTATGAGTCGTCTTTCTTCTCTTAAATTCTCTAGGCATTGGAACTGATTCCTCGTTTTCCTGACCTGGAAGATCCTCCATGTTGTCGAAAGGTTTTAGGGGGCTGGATTGTGTTCCCTGACGGTTGTTGACTAAGGCCTTAAGGGCTCGGCCGGAAGGTGAAGACATTGACATTGAGGCAGCCTTATTGTCGAAGAATTTCCTAAATCTTCTCGGCGTAATTGATGTTTGTCGCCGTTCCTTTTTTGGTGTTCCCACTCTGATCGAAGGGGGGAGCTTTGGAAGCTGAGGAGAACCCATGGTCATGTCCGGAGGAGAGGATGGCAGATCCATAGAATGGGATGAAGGTGAGAGAGACATAATTACAAATTCGAAAGAAGTATCAATTAAAAGTTTACAAGTGATTGTCAAGAAATACGCAACCGCAAAGGCAAAGGTATGCGCATGCACATATCGAGTTGTCTGGAATCTTATGAAGTAGAAGTATAAAATAGTAAAAGCGAAATAGCCACGGAAACGCGAGAAGCATCTATTGGACGTGTGCCACTTTAAACTTAATCCCTGGTTCGCGTTTTATGGATCACGCTACCTAGGCGAGCTAGGTACGATTTTCTTTTCCTCCTATCTTGCGATCACGTGGAGATAAGCGTCCCTTCGATTTTTTTTTGATTTCTTCATCGCTGGGAGATTAAGAGAGTTGGATTTACTTACCTCACGTCTCTCAAGTAATTATCTTCGTCACAACCCGACATCATGGGTATCCAGAAGAAGCATGGTAAAGGTCGTCTCGATAAATGGTACAAGCTTGCCAAGGAGAAGGGATATAGAGCCAGAGCTGCTTTCAAATTGATTCAATTGAATAAAAAATATGGCTTTTTGGAGAAGAGTAAAGTTTTGTTGGATCTTTGCGCTGCTCCCGGAGTAAGTGTATTCTTTAACATATGTCTGGATTCCGCTAACTTGGTGATGCGATAGTCATGGTGTCAAGTCGCAGCAGAGACAATGCCAGTGAGCAGTTTGATCGTCGGTGTTGATCTTTCTCCCATTAAACCAATCCCACGAGTTATTACTTTCCAGAGCGATATTACGACCGAGAAATGTCGCGCTACCATTCGTACACACTTCAAGTCCTGGAAGGCAGATACAGTGTTGCACGACGGAGCTCCCAACGTTGGTACTGCTTGGGTTCAGGATTCTTTCAATCAGGCCGAATTGGCCCTCCAATCTTTGAAGCTTGCTACAGAATTCCTTGCGCCAGGCGGTACCTTTGTTACAAAAGTCTTCAGATCCAAAGATTACAACAGTTTGCTCTGGGTTTTCAACCAATTGTTCACAAAGGTCGAAGCAACGAAACCTCCCTCTTCCAGAAATGTTTCCGCGGAAATTTTCGTTGTGTGTCAAGGATTCAAGGCGCCAAAGCATCTTGATCCCAAATTCGTCGACCCTCGACATGTCTTTGCAGAACTCTCGGATCCTACACCCAATAATGAAGCCAAAGTTTTCAATCCAGAGATCAAGAAAAGGAAGAGAGACGGTTATGAGGATGATAATATGACACAATTCAAAGAAATTCCGGCCAGCGAATTCATTCAAACAACCGATCCCATTGCCATTCTTGGTAGCATGAATCGCCTCAGTTTTGTCCAACCACCAAATGGAGATGTAGCTCTGGCCGCACTGGATAAGCTGCCAGAAACGACCGATGAAATTCGCAACGACTGTGCAGATCTAAGGGTGCTTGGAAGAAAAGAATTCAGAAACCTTTTGAAATGGCGTTTGAAAGTACGAGAAAAGTTTGGATTTGCTACTAAGAAGGGCGCAAAGGCGGAGCCAGAAGAAGTGGCCGAGGTAGAAGATATGGATGAAGAGTTGAAGATCCAGGAGGAACTACAGGCTATGAGCGAGAAGGAGAGCTCTCGCAAAAAACGTGAGAAGAGAAGAGAAAACGAGAAGAAACAAAGGGAGATTGTTCGGATGCAGTTGCATATGACAGCACCAACAGATATTGGCTTAGAACAAGCAGGACCAAATGGGGAAGGTTCTATGTTTGGACTGAAAGCAATAGACAAGGCCGGTGCTGCAAACAAGATTGCGAAGGGGAAAATGGCAATTTTGAAAGAATCTGACCCTAGAAAGGAGGAAGGTGGATATGCCTCGGAAGATAGCGAGAGCGACGATGAGCAAGATCGACTCGACAGGGAGCTTGACTCAATGTATGAGATGTACCAGGATCAGAAATCAAGTGCCGATGCAAAGTTCCGCGCCAAGAAGGCAAGGAAGGAGCATGAAGATGGTGACTGGGAAGGATTTTCAGCGGCGGAGGAACAGAGTGACGATGACAATTTGGAAGAGGATAGTAGCGATGAATCTGATGACGAAGGGCCTTCCAAACAGTCTTTATTGACTGATTTAGAACGAAATGAGAAGAAAACAGGTGGGCTTTCGAAAAGAGCAACTCAATTTTTCGACCAGGATATCTTCAAGGACATTGGAGGTATCCCCGAAGAGGAATCAGAGGAAGAGGTCGAAGAGGAAGATGAAGAAGTTCAAGCCGATCTCGACGAGCTTATGAAGGATAGGGTGATTGAAGAGGAAGAAGAAGACGAGGTTATGGAGGAAGCGCCCGAAGAAAGTGATAGCAGCGATGATGAAAATGGTTTCGAAGTTGTCAAACGCAGAGAGGGTGAAAAACAGTGGGAAGACGAAGAACCTAAAAAGGATGGAAGATTAGGTATGTGGTTTCTTATCCGGGGCTTTTACAAATTTACTAACATGACCCTCCATAGACATCGACATCATCACCGCCGAGGCTATGACCCTCGCTCAGCAGATCGCTTCTGGTCAAAAATCAATGTACGACCTCGCCGATGAAAGCTTCAATAAATATGCGTTCAAAGACCGTGACGGTCTTCCCGACTGGTTCCTTGACGACGAAGGCAAGCACGATAAACCGCATCGCCCAATTTCGGCTGCCGGTGCTGCAGCCATCAAGGAGAAGCTGCGCGCACTGAACGCTCGACCAATCAAGAAGGTCCGCGAAGCCAAAGACCGTAAGAAGTTCAAGGCAGCACAGCGACTCGAAAAGTTGAGGAAGAAGTCTGCATTATTAGCTGATGAGGAGGGCATGACGGAGAAGGAGAAAGCGAATAGTATTGGAAAGTTGATGAGCAAAGCGGCAAAGAAGAAGCCAAAGCAAAACGTTAAGGTTGTGGTCGCTACTGGTGGTAATAGAGGAATTGCGGGTAGACCAAGGGGTGTCAAGGGTAAATATAAGATTGTGGATGCTAGACTGAAGAAGGATGTTAGGGGTCTCAAGAGAGCGGCTAAAAAAAGAAAGTGAGCTATTAATTAGTGCCGTTTAATGTTGGGTGTGAGAATGAGGATGCGTTTGTACAACACACTGGGAAGAAAACTCACACAAGCGTCTGGACACAACAATGGATACACTTGATAATCGATATATACTTGACAATCGATACATCATGCTTCAACACATTATGGACAGAAGAAATGCGCACCAAAATATAAGCCTGAGAGATTACATATGTTCTATTTCCACGTGTGAACTACACCATTGTTATAGTACCATGAAATCACGAAGTCTAAGAGATCATTGATGGTCGAATTTGGAGTGGAAGATTGAACGAAAATATTAATAGCTTTATAAAAGAGGTTAATGCAACCTCATTATGCAGTTTATTTCTTTGGTAGTCTGCTTGCATTCTAATGGCTAATCCAGAAACCCTCTAAAATTATTGTTTGGTTTATTAAGTACCCTTGTTGACCAAGACGTATCGATTAGTAACCAGGGTTTCCTGACCTTTGATCTACATGTTCCCTTGGGTTGGATAGATAAAAATATACGCATAACCATCGTCTCTACTATGGAATGTGTAATACAATGATCAAGCAATAGCGCCATTCCTCCTAAGATTTGGGTATCCCATCCGGTTCTAGAAAAAAGCAATTCCCAAGTTAACCTCAACTCCTATTCTCCTGTTATGGCCCCTGAAATCAAGAATCAAATGCTTTGTAAAGCTGTTGTTCAAGGAAAGAAAATTCCCACGAGCACAAAGGTGGACGCCTTATCTGAACCTAAAATGGACTTTCATAGCAAGGCGATGGCGATCATAGAAAGGAGAAGGAAAAGAGACATCGAGCCATGAGGTCCAGCAGTCGCTGCCGTGGTAGCTTCGCTCTTTTTGTACACTGTCTGATTGTTCGTCTCGTTCTTTTGGTTGCTGAAGAAATATGTACTTGCTGAAATATTACCATTGTTTCCATCCGGATTGGGGGCTGAAGTTTGGTCTGGAATGGCACAAATGGCATTTTTCAGCTTTAGGGTCTTTTGCAATCGTTTTGTCGGACCTATCTCGCGCATTGGATCCGAGGATTAAAGTAGGCTTTCACATAGCTAACGGAGATGACCAGCATCGTGTGATGGTGGACCTGAGGACCACAAAGGGTTCCCATTGCTCCATTGTGTGATATCATATGACCAGGAGATGTCGGAACCCGCGGTGCTGTTCATCTTTGCCAGGATTTGTCCATCGGCATAAAATATGACGTTTCCTGGGATAAAATCGATGCGATATTCATGGTAGCCAGTGGTCGGATTGAAGGGAAGGTTTGCCACAACATAGTTGCCAGTACCAGCAGCGTTGGTAGCCAGCTGGACTGACTGCACCGATTGTAGAACAAGATTGACAGGGAATGTGTTGTTGTCGACGTTGAACTGGGAAGAAAGAAACTCCATATCAATTTCTTGGCTGTCGTTAAGTACTAACCCACAATTAGTATATGAATCACAGATATACCTGCTTGGTCAAGAAGAGCTTACCCAGAAAAAAGCAGCACATGTACCAGGAGTTAAGGTCAATTTCATAGCAGCTCTATATGTTCCCCAGAGTAAATCTTCACGGGCCGAATCTATCTCCGCAGTCTGAACAAATCCATTGGCAGGATCACCTCCACTAACAGTAAGCTGTACACCAGGATCAACACCAAATTCCCCATCTCCAGACCATGTATTCTCATCAAGTATAGGATTTGACGTGACCTGTTCAGTGCTGTAGTTCATGCCGTAAGGACCACGTCCAGCAGCCAGCCGTCTATTAAACTGTTGTCGTCTCCAGTCCGTATCAAGAGTGATATTGGGAATGTGCAAGAAGTCAGACTCGATAAGATCAGTAAATATGTAGGGTTCCGCAGAGTCGCCGATGGAGGATGAATAGCCGCATTCACAGTCTGCAGTCGCATGGCCTGCGAAGTACAGGACTATTGGGATAATGATTCGCATTTTTAAACCCCACATTTTAAATGAGACAGAATCTTTTGCGATGAACGATATTATTATTGTATGCGGTCAAGGTATTTGGTGGTACAAACGAAAACAAACAAGTATCTTTCTTGATGTACAGGTTGTAGTGTTATCGCAAAATTGCACTGCTTTTGAAATGAAAGTGAAAATTCACCCGTTGACTGAACGGGACAGAAAGTACAGAGTCGAATGGGAAAGAAGAGTGTTTGATTTGGACTTGTTGGAAGATAGCCTTTACCAGAGGGTTTTACATGAAAAGATCACCACGGCATTATGGGTGAAGAAGTAGCTGTCGTTGGAATCGTGAAGATGAGGGATTGAAGAATGGTGGGCAGTGAGCAATGGAAGGACGAAGGTTTATTATTAAAGAAAGAGGTACTTTTTGAGAAAGAGAAGAGTAAACGATTGATGGAAGTCTGTAATAAGAGAATGAACGAAAGTGGTGGAAGAAGAAAGAGCGTATGGTGTGCATCAGACGTATTAAAGTGTTGTAAGTGAAAGTGAAGTTGAAGAAGGTAAGAGCAAGTAAAGAATCAAGACTGGAAGTGGAGCGGAAGCGGAAAGTATATGAATATGCATATGAATATGAATATTTACGACTCTCGTCCTAACATGAGATGATTTACCTACCTACCTACCTGCTTGCCTACCCACTTTGATATTTCTGCGCGTGAATCCGATGAAGAAATTGGTAAATACGTACCTACATATAATATTATATTATTCATAATCAAAATCATCCTGTTAGCAAGGTAGGTGTGCAACACAACGCAACGCAACACAAATCAAATGCAGGAACGAACCCCTCCACATCCACTCCTTCACATGGGGTTCATTCTTTTGTCCTTTCCATTCCCTTCTCTTGCTCTGACCCTTACCGTTCTTCAAAACCATCTCCACACAGCAAGATAGAATCAGATTCTTTGATGCTCGACGATAGATCGTTTGTAGGTGAGTGTTTGCTGCCACTCCCTTCATTCCTTCCATCTACCTAGAAGGTATTGCATAGTGAACGGGAGATAGATGTGATACAAATCTGCGTTTTCATCAAACCATGGTACATTTGGCAACACGGGTCATGTTGCACAGATTGAATCATTACTCCATCAGTGGAAGACAAAGAGACTCCATTGTCTGCACTGAATACGACCGTCTGCCTACATCGTTAAAAGATGCTCTATTTTCCCGAATTCTATCATAGCAGAGTTTGGGAAGAAGTCCGTAAGATAAGAAGAGAAACCACCCATTGAGTGAAGGTGATGAATAACGTTTTATTGACACTCAACTCTAGATGATACTAATAATTGGCTTCTAGCTACATATTGTACTAGCTTGCATCCATTTACTCCACAGCCACCAATAAAATCAGAGGGAAAATTTATCCTCAACATCAAAGCACATCCCCCCCCCCCGGATGTCATACATGAAATCGTCCAAAAGAATTGACTTTAGGCATCGCTAGCTAGTCCCATCATCATTCATCGCCGTTCACTTATTACTGGGTCATGATGAAGACATAAAGTCATCGAACAAAAGACCGAATGTTCAAAAATGAGCCAAGAATCTAAAACTTTTCCCAAAATCTACTCGCTTGCCTACTCCTACTTCATTGGGCGTCTTGCTGAAATCACACGTACAACATTTAGATTTGATAACTTCCATCACAAGGCGTAGGTGCTAAAGATTATTTCATGAGACTGCTTAATGCGTCCAATGAACACAACATATTTTCTCAATCAGAACCTGAAGAGTAGAGAGATTACATGTTGATCTCCTCCGATTGCACCCAGTTGTAACTAAAATTGTAACTTAGAATGACTCCTACGTCGATTTGGAAGAAGATTGAGGGCTCACAGGTTGATCGTTTGTCAACACTAGGCATAACAGAAAGACGGATAAAGCTAGGCTTTGGAGATGGTAGAGATTTCCTCGCTTGGCTACATGCATTCACCACCCGCCACGTAAGCTATTTTTAACGTCACGTTTCACTGCACATTGAGTTTAAAGGGGTCAGAAGACGAGGTGTGGGAGTAGACATATAATATTGATTGATAAGACGCTGGGATACCGCCTCGTTTTGCGAGAGAAGCTACGATTAGACCAAGAATGCTGAGATACTGACTATCTATACATACACCGATCAGCCCAATCACCATTCACCATCAGGTGACATTAAACCTTTCGTGCCCAAGTTGCCATTTCTCAAGTACTAACCAACCAACCAATTCCAATTTCCGCCTCTCCTTCATGCAAATCAAATCCATCAAAACATTTCGCAAATAACTATGACCAAGAAAGCGCAAAAGAAGAGAGAAAGTAGAAACAAACTCAAAAAACCAGATGTATATCGAACAAGGTATAAGGTATCTGAGCTGAAATGGATGACGGAGAGGAGAAACAAAAACAATTAAAAATTGGTAGTGCTAATAGGACAAGGGCAGAAGCAACACCAGTGGGCCAGCCATGAGTATGAGTGTAGAGACATTAGGTGCGCGAGAGCGCGATGATATATGAGACGAAAGTGAAGAAAAGTCCAGTATGCCCGACCAGCCCCGTATTGTTGCCCGTGACCCCGAGAAAGATTTGCTCATGAAAAAGTAAAATCCGAAAGTAAAATCGCTATATGCAAAGAAAGGAAAAAGGAAATGCCAAAGATAAACCGTCGACCCTCGTCAAAGCCGATAGTGTGAGATGAAAAGAGATGAGGGATATCAAAACCGAGTCTAACAAGGAAAATAAAAATAAGGAAATCATAGCAATCATTAAAAAAAGAATTAAATCTTAGTACACGCTATCATCAGCGTCATCCATTCCTTGAGAAATCATGGAGGGCGTTGAAACGTCCGATACTTCCATGTCGTCCTCGTAACCGACAAGGGCTTGAGAATGAAGTCGGAAGGAGTCACCCATGAGTTTTGTGATTCTATAATATGTTAGTATAATGTGTATTTGACGATGAACGTTGCGACTTACCCCCAAACGACAACTTCATCAAGCATGCTACCCCAGACACGAGCGACGGTAGAGCTAAGCTTGGAGCTATAGCCTACAGAATCATCGTCAAAGAGAGCTCGGATCTTGTTTTGCATGGCCAATTCCTCCTCAGTCGGAGGCTCCTCGTCATTTTCCAGGCGATAGAGCCACAAGCTGAGGATGACCATGAGATCCAAGCCACAAAGAGGATGTTCGATACTCCAGTTGGTAGCCGACGTCCTAGCAACCCAGCGAATTCCTTGAACGGCTGCAGTTTCAATGCAATTGTAGCATTCTTGAATGACTTTGATCATCTCGCTGGACCTCTTGACCTTGTCCCTAGCATTTGACATGGCAGCAGCAACTTCATAAGAGTCATGGTACCTCAGGACTTCTTGAATTGATTTGAGGTCAACCTCAAGACGAGCCTTAGCATTGCGGAACAGGGCCATAGCATTAAAGATCAATGGATGTCCTTTGTGAGGGGCATTGAGTGGAACTGAAACAATTTCCGGCTCACAAAGGTCAAGCGATTTCTCCCAGGTCTCCAATGCAAGACGGAGTTTGAATTCCAAGACCATATCTTGAAGTGCTTCCGGGCTGCGTTTATGGTACCAGATCTCAAGGAAAAGCGCATTGATCATAACACGAGTTGCAAAAGCACTGTAGCGTAAGGATTCGCCCTGAAAGAGGTTATCGTGAGCCTCCATGAATGATGGTATATCGGCAGCTTTGAGGTGTTCTTTCCAGGTAGCTTCGTCGGAAACATTAAGATTCCACATCGCTTCAGTCGAGGGAAGCTGTAGATCTTCAAACTCGTTAAAACTGATAGCGGGTGTATGGTTGTATGTCAATGTCAGTAAGCCAAAGAAGATGTATACTGCATAGTACGTTCGTCGACAACCCTCATCTTCCACCCATTCGGATCTGGTAGGCGCAGCACCTTCTCGAGCGTCGGTGCGAAGCTTCAGCTCGTAACGATTACCAGCAACCATGTTGGCAAGTAAACTCTTGATCGAGCAAGCCCATTCCAGTCCTTTTGGATCTCCACTCCAGCTTGCGAAAATCATGTTGAGGAGTGAGCTTTGCATGGTCCACAAAGGACACTTACGTGAGCTGAAATTCTCCTTGTTTTGTAAAAACTGATTTACGAGAACCTTGGAACCAATGTGCATCATATATGCGTGATCTTGATCGAATGCATAAAGAGCACCAATGGATAGCACAGCAAGAAGAAGTGGTGGTGAGACTTGCGTTGGTTTAAAAGTCGAAGGGTGCAAGAAGGGTAAGTGATGGTGGAACAAGGTGAAGTAGGTCGAAAGAAATCGGTTCAACGATGCCAACGTGGGGAGATGAAAGCCTTCTGGAATTGCTCGTTCACTATCATGGCCACGGATATTGTCCAAGATGATGTTGCGTTCTTCGTCGCCAGTGACTTGAGGTGCTCTCATCGCTGCTGCTTCGGAACGGGGCTGTATTGGTGACAATTGGGGGGTGGAAGCCATTGAGGGTGGCAATGAATCAATCATGGACTGCAACGCAGGAACGAGTCCATTATAGCTTGACGACGCCTTGTGCTTGACGATAGGTGGAAGCTGATTAGGATGAGGTTGCATCGTACCACCGCTTGTAAAAGACGCCTGGGAATCTTGAGAACCAGAAGCTCCCGAGGTAATTGAATGAGACTTTGGCTCCGTTACAGACTGCGGCATGAAAGAATCCCACGGGACCTGGGGAAGCGAAATTGCCCCCGAAGGATATGTGACGGATGGTTCCATGAGCGGAGTTCCATTATGAGAGAAAGCCATTCCAGGTCTATTCTCATATGGGCCTACGCCTGCATTGCGCATTGCTGCAGTAGCTTTGTGGTGAAGGTCGGTCATCAACATAGCTGCAGTCTCTAGGTCAACTAACCCATCACTACTGGCCTCGATCTGTTCAAGGGCCGATGTGTCAATAGCGATGGCTGATTTGGCTGAGCCGGATACAACGGATGCCTTGGGGCCGGCACGTCGCTTTAC